AGAGAGAGAGAGAGAGAGAGAGAGAGGGAGAGAAGCTAACTGTAACAAATACAGGGAAAGCTGCACTGACTTGCAGTCCTTTCAGAAAAATGCAGAGATAGATCTTGGAGAAGCCCAGGGATTTAGCTCAGTGGTTCCACCACCCGCCTCACAAGCACAAGGTCCTGACTTCAATCCCCAGTACCAAAAAACCAAAACAAACAGATAGATCTTGGCGAGAAACCCTTTAAATACTGTATGTGAAAGGATTCATACTGGCAAGAACCACGTGTATGTACACAATGTGGGAAGGCTTTCACCACACACGTGGATTCTCAAAGACATGAACAAACTAGTGGTTATTAGCATACACTAAAGAAGTTACACTGGGGACAAACCCTGTGTATGTAAGCAGTGTGGTAATGCTTTCAGTAGACATGGCGATACTCGAACTCATTGGGGAGAAACTGTCTGTATGCAACATGGGACAGCTTTCAGCACACACGGTAATTGTAGAATACATGAAAAACCTCATACTGAGGAGAATCCCTATAGTGCATACATGTGCAATGTGGGAGAGCGTTCAGCACATATAATGTTTGTCAAAGGCACGAATAAAGTCACAATAGGGAGAAACTATGTATGTAAGTAAGTAATGTGGAAAAGATTTCAATAGACATGGTAGCTGTTGAATACCTGAAAGAAATCACACCGGGGAGAAACCCTATGTGTGTAAGCAACGTTGGAAAGGTTTCACCAACAGGTCAAAGAAGAAACCATTACGCTAGGAGAAATCAGTAAAAGCTATACTAGGAAGCTGACATTTAAAATGGGCCTCAGCACTCAGGAGGCTGAGGCAGTAGGATCGCTGTGAGTTTGAGACCAGCTTGAGCTACATAGTGAGTTCCAGGTCATTCTCAACTACATTGTGAGACCCTGTCTCAACACCCCCCACCCCGCCAAAAAAGAAGCTGAGCATGGTGGTGCACACCTGTAATCCCAGCACTCAGGAGGCTGAGGCAGGAGGATCACTATGAGTTCGAGACCAGCCAGGGCTACATTGTGAGTTCCAGGGCATCCTCAAATACAGAGAGACCCTGTCTCAAAAAAATCAAAAAAATAAAAATAAAGATAAATAAAATAAAATGGGCCTGTGGGCTGGGGATTTAGCTCAGTGGTGCCACCAACTGCTTTGCAAGTGCATGGTCCTGAGTTTGATCCTTGTTAAAAAAAAAAAAAAAAAAAAATTGGGCCTGAATATTCACATAAATCTTTCAAATCAGTAATCATTATGGTCTGCAACATGCACTAATAAAATTTAAAAATAATTAAGAGCTGGGCATGGTGGCACATGCCTGTAATCCTAGCACTTAGGAGGCTGAGGCAGGAGGATCACAAGTTCAAGGCCATCCTGGGTTACACTGTGAGTTCAAGCCCAGCCTGGAATGCAGAGCCAGACCCTGTCTCAAACATTAAAGAATAAAAATAAAATGGGCCTGAAGGAGGATAGCAGGGGCAAAGAAGGAAAGATAAGGCAGTACACATCCATTGCGGCCAGGGTTTAGGGTGTAGGGCAGAATAGGTGAAGACTTTGTTTGCGGTATCAAAGAGTCTTGATTTTTTTTTTTTTTTTTTGGTACCACGGATTGAACTCAGGACCTTGCACTTGTGAGGCAGGCGGTGGAACCACTGAGCTAAATTCCCGGCCCAAAGAGTCTTGATTTTATTCTACAGGTAAAGAGCCAAATAAACTTTTATGCAAAGGAGTGACATGAATCAACCTATATCTTGTAGCACAATGAGAAGAGGGAGACAAGGGGATGACTGAAGAGGCACATACAACACTGTGAGCAGAAGGGTGAGGGTTACTCTCAGGTAGTGGCAAAGAAAAGAGGATGACAAGTGATGCCTCCCAGGGCTGCCCTATGAAAAGTAGAGCATCCATAATCTGAGGCCTGAGAAACAGACAAGCCACTCCTAAGCAAGCTTTCTCACTTTGGACAAGGAGGAGGAAGAGCAGGTCTACACGGTTAAGGGAGGGGATAAGATGTATTTGTGGCACTGACTGTCTTAGGTGCCTGCTGGACCTGCACATGGAATGCAAGCTGTATGATTATTTTGAAACTCCAGGCCCTCTTCCCTTGGACTCGCGACTTGGATTTCTGGACTCAGCGCATGAAGAAACTAGACAATGACCTAAGTGAAGCTGCCCACAGCATTACCAGGGGCAAAGCAGAATAGAAATGAACGTGGTGGCTCTGCTCCAGTCCCCTTGCAACTTGGCACATAGCAGCTGGACAGACAGCACCCCCGTGCCACAGGAGAGACAAAACGGGCCGTTCACATCAATTCGGGTTAAATGAGCCTTAAATGCCAAAACCACGCTCTTTGGAGAGAACCACAGGGGTCTCATCACATGGGAGTCTCTGCCTGAGTATCACACATTCTGAAAACATGCAAGGGAATCAGACATATCTTCTCTTGGCCCTAGGGTTATCCTTTCTCACACACGATGTGTGTGTCCGTCACAAGAGCGTCTGTCGAAGTCCTCTGGGCATTTTATTTAGATGTGTGCTTCCTTTTCTCACCATGATCCTCCGCTTTCATACGCTTGTTCCTCATCTCCTGACGCCAGTGCACACAGGCCTTCCAACTTTGGAACACCACATTGTACAAGTAGTACCTGAGCAGCCAAAAAAGCAAATGCATTTCTTTAAGAAAGCTCAACAAAACGACTCCTAATCCAACGTACCTAGTTTGTTCTTTACTCTCAAGAAACTACTTCCACTTTCAGTGTCCACAAAGCCCTAACTTAGGGAGACTAGACTTAGGGTGTCTTCATCACCCGAGTCATCCAAGCTATGTAAAACATTTCTCCTTTGCAACGAAAGGTGGCCAGTAGTACCTTTTCCTTTTTCTTCTCCTTGGTACAGATATCATATACTTTAAGACCTTTATCCCTCTGTATCTTTAGTATCCCAATGCCTAAGACTCCATTTCATATCCGATCAGATTAGAACTATTCACTGTGCCTATTTTTAACCTAAAATAACCATAAATCACTACTCCTGCCCCAAAGAATCTAAAGTGACTATAATAAATACCATCATACAGACAAAATATATATTTGGTTTGGGTTTTTTTTCGATGGGGGGGTATGGTACCAGGAACTGAACTCAGGACCTTGCACTTACGAGGCAGGCATGGTGCCACTGAGCTCAAACCCCAGCCCTGCTAGTTTTATTTTTTAAAAGATCTAACCTGTAATCCCAATACTTAAGAGATGTTGAGGCAGGAGGACCATGGGGCACAGCCTGGGCAACTTAGTGACTTAAGCAAGACACTATCTCAAAATAAAACATTTAAAAAATGGCTGGAGATGTAGATCAGTACAAAGACCTTGGGGTTAAATCCCTAGTACCTCCCTCTCTAAAATCTAAAACATTCTGAGGGCCGGAGATTTAGCTCAGCAGTTCGGTGGCCTGCCTTGCAAGCACAAGGACCTGAGTTCAATCCCCGGCACCAAAAAAAAAAAGCAAACAAATAAAATCTAAAACATTCTGGAGTGTGGACGCCTGCCTCACAAGCACAAGGTCCCCAGTTTGATTGCTGGTACCAAAAATAAAAAAAAAATCTAATATGTATTTGATATAATTCCCAATTTCTTTTGTTTTGCTTTTTTTTGGTAACCAGGATGGAACTCGGGTCCTTGAGCTTTCAAGGCAGGTGGCGGCACCACCGAGCTAAATCCCTGGCCCTTGTTTTGCTTTTTGACACAGGGTCTCACTATGTAGTTCAGGTTGGCCTTGAACTTACTATGGAGCCCAGGCTGGCCTCGACTCAGTAGTCCTCCTGCCTCAGCCTCCTGAGTGCTGGGATTATAGGTGTGTGCCATCATGCCCAGCTAACTGCCAATTTTTTATCTCTCTTCCATCCCTTGGATGTGAATGTCGAGGATTAAGAGTTCATTTGTTACCCGAGTTCAATCCCTGCTACCAAAAAAAAAAAGAGTTCATTTGTTCTCCAGGTACAGTGGCGCACGCCTGCGATCCCAGCACTTGGGAGGCTGAGGCAGGAGGATCGCTGCGAGTTTGAGACCAGCCTGGGCTACATAGTGAGTTCCAGGTTAGTCTCAACTACATAGTGAGACCCTGTCTCAAAAAACAAAAAAAAAAAAGAGAGAGAGTTCATTTGCTCTTGTCTTCTTTCAAATGAACACAAGCCTTAATTACTCTACCACTCGGCTAAATTCCCAACCCCTCTCTTTTTTAATGTTCCATACTAGGCATATATTTTCTCCCCAAAATCAATATAAATTAGAACTTGGCCTTTTAAAAATAAGTGTGGTGGTGCACACCTGCAATCCCAACCCTGAGGAGGCTGAGGCAGGAGGATCGCTGTGAGTCTGAGGCCAGCCTCTGCTACACAGTGAGTTCAAGACCAGCCAAAACTACACAGGGAGATGGTCTCAAAAAAAAAAAACAGTACATTCTCAGAATTAGAAATTATACAGAAGTGAGAATCAGTGAGAAAAACCCTATTCCAATCATTAGCGTGACTAACACATAACCCTTCTCTGAATTAAAGAGGGCTGTGCGTGCATTCCTGGGTTTAGGACTTTGAATGCGCCTACTCGAAAAAGAATTAGGAAAAAACCAGGAAGTGATACAAAACACTGCTTCTTCTGAGCAGAAATACATGAAACACTAACGTGAGAATGTGTGAAACCCGTAACCGAAAATGTGCAAAACCGAAGCGATGTGAGCGACCTGACCTGTGGTGACAGTCGGCTCGAACACGGAGTTTCCATTCTCGGTGAGAAACCCACCACTCTTCTCTCCACCGCTCAAAGACCTTCCGCAGTATTTTCTGCTCGTAGTAAAACCTAAAGTAATAAATGAAACAGTGAGATGCGATGGAGTCGGAGCTGATGTCTATTTCCAAATCAGTTTCACACTGTCCTTGTTTGTCAAAGAAAATGCACACCAGGGCCGGGGATTTAGCGCAGTGGTGTCGCCACCTACCTCACAAGCACAAGGTCCCAAGTTCAATACCCAGTACCAAAAAATGAAAGAAAGAAAGAAAGAAAGAAAAGAAAGAAAAGAAAGAAAAGAAAGAAAAGAAAGAAAGAAAAGAAAGAAAGAGAGAAAGAAAGAAAGGGAGAAAGAAAGAGAGAAAGAAAGAGAAAGAAAGAGAAAGAAAGAGAAAGAAAGAAAGAAAGAAAGAAAGAAAGAAAGAAAGAAAGAAAGAAAGAAAATAAACACCAAAATATGTTAAAAAGACGTTATTTAACTTTTTTCAGGTCAAAAATTGAGAAATACTTAGCCAGAGGTGTGGCCTATGTGTACAACCTCAACATTCTGGCAAGCGAAGGCAGGAGAGTCCCAAACTCGACTTCGGCCTAGGCAATTCTGGTGACTTCCCAAGACCCTGCCTTACAATTTTACAAAGTTTAAAAGGGTTGGGGATGCAGCTCAGTGAAGAGGCCCTGGGTTCAATCCCCAGTACTGCAAAACAAGCAAACAAACGAACAAACAAAAAACTCGGAATTACTTAAAAAATGAAACTGAAAAAATTTAGGCTATAGTTTACCAATTAAAGGTACCATCTTACTTTCCAAGTACCACAATTGAACTAAGAATTTTTAAATTCATCAAGCTAAAAAATACTTTTTTTTTTTAAGTTTTTTTTGAGACAAGTTCTCATTATTAGTTCAGGCTGGCCTCGAACTTGCAACAATCCTCCTGCCTCAGCCTCCCGAGTGCAGGGATTATAGGCACACACCACCATCCCCAGCAAAAATACTTTTATTATTAAAACATGGTAGCTATTTCTCATTTCTGAAATAGGAGATTAAAGTTATAAACAAACAACTGCCAAGAACACAGATACTACTTTAAAATCCCACCAGAGGGGCTGGGATTTAGCTCAATGGTTCTGCCACCTGCCTCGCAAGTGCAAGGACCTGAGTTCGATCCCCGGTACCAAAATAAATAAATAAATAAAATAAAATAAAATCCCACCAGAGGAATTATAACAGCAGCAAAAATCAGAGGTAAGAGAAAATTAAAAAAAGGGTTATAAGGAAGAAAACAGTAGAGCAGTAACAGTGTTGATACTAAGAAAGCACTCGCAAGGTGACCGGCAACTCAAGAATACTGACCAAGGCATGCTGGTACATACCTGTAATCCCAGCACTCAGGAGGCTGAGGCAAGAAGATCACTATGAGTTCAAGGCCAGCTTGGGCTACATAGGGCCACTATGAACTACATTCAAGGCCAACTACATAGCAAGACCCTCCCCACATCCCCACCCCGCCGAAAAGAATACTGGTCCTGTCAATTAGTTCTAATTTCTTCTCCTAGTTCTGCAGGTTACGCCCACTTAGTTTTAAAAGATAGTTTTCATAGGGCCAGGGATTTAGCTCAGTGGTGCCACTGCCTGTCTCATAAGCTCAAGGTCCTGAGTTCAATCCCTAGTACCAAAAAAAAAAAAAAATTATGAATAATAGTGAGATTAATTTCCTTATGAGTAGCTCTGTAAGCTCTTTTTTTGGGGGGGCGATCGAACTCGGGACCTTGCACTTGTGAGACAGGCTTGGCACCACTGAGCTAAATCCCCAGCCCGCTATTGTGCATAATTTTTTAAAAAAGAAAGCAAAACTTCACAAATGCCCATCAAAGGATGTAAATTCAAAGTAATTCAATCAATGCCCTGCCAAGTGTTTATGAATGAAGTAAACCAAGGCTACTGAAATAGATGCCCCAGAAAGGCTGCCAGGTAAAAAAGTAAAATAAAATTAGTGCATAGTATATAAAATGTACTACATTTTAATTAATGTTTATGCATTAATACTGCCATAGCTCAGCAGCCATTTGTTAGATTACAGGAGACTTGTAATGTTTGAAAAGATTTTAATAACAGATTTGTTTCTAATTTTTTATACATGCATATATTTAATAATGAAACAATTCATTAACATCAAAAATTAGAAGAATTGAGCTGGGGATTTAGCTCAGCGGTTCAGTAGCTTGACTTGCAAGTGCAAGGACCCGAGTTCAATCCCCGGTACCAAAAAAAAAAAAATAAAAAAAAAAAAAAAAAAAAAAAAAAGAAGACTTCAGAGACCTCAGTGCTGTGGAAGAGAAGCAGACGTTAAGCAAAAACCAACTGTGTTTATAATTTTTTTTTTCTGGTATCAGGGATCAAACTCAGGTCCTTGTGCTTGCGAGGCAGGCAGCAGAACTACTGAGCTAAATCCCTGGCCCTGTGTTTATAATTTTTAAAAGAAAAGAATTGTGAACCAGGGTTTTAGTTCAGTGGTACTGTGCCTGCCTCACAAGCGCAAGGTCCTGAGTTCAATCCTAAAAAAAAAAAAAAAAAAAAAAAAAAAAATCATGTGCAGATGGTAACATGAATAAATCCACCTGACACCTTCTACTCTCTAAATTTCACTAAAATAACAGCTAATAAATTATAAAAAGCATACACCCACAAAGACAGACAATAAGAGAAATGATGATAGACGTTATATCAACAATGTTTAAGTGATGAAAACAGGTAGGTGATGGGCAACTGAAATAGGAGAAGGCAGAGAACTCAGTGTTCTGTAGAAAGTCAAAAAAAACAACCACCTGGTGGCACAAATCCCAGAATGTGGTGGGATGTGAGACACAGGAACGGGGCCGTCCTGGGTGGAGATAAAGACACAGAACTGCATCATCAGAAGTGGTTAGGGCCCCGATTTCTACATTCACCCAGATAGGAAAGGAAGAGGTTAAACTGTCATTATTTGGGGACTACACGATACTCCACCAAGACGACCCAAAAAACTCAGCCAAAAGACTTCTAGACTTAATTGACAGATTCAGTAGAGTAGCTGGATACAAGGTCAACACTCAAAAATCAATAGCCTTCTTGTACATAAATAACAGACTGAGAAATTAGGGAAACCATTCCTTTCACAACAGCATCCAAAAATATGAAATATCTAGGAGTCAATCTAACAACGGAAGCAAAAGACCTCTACATTGGTAACTACAGCATCCCTGGCTCCTCGGGAGGAAGAACCAATACAGTGAAAATGGCCATACTTCCCCAACCGCTATACAGACTCAGTGCAATCCCAAAAGTGATTTTGAAATCACAAAAGTGTATTTCACAGAATTGGAGAAGACAATCCAAAAATTCATTTGGAACCACAAGTGACCTAGAATAGTAAAAGCAATTCTAGGCAACAGGGACATGACGGGGGGTATCAAAATCCTCGACTTGAAGTTATACTAAAAAGCCACTGTGATAAAAACAGCAAGATAATGGCAAAGAAACAGACCTGGGGATCAATGGAACAGATTAGAAGAGTCAGAAACAACTCCAGACACACTCAGCCATCTCGTCTCTGACAAAGGAGGCAACCATCCCCACTGGAGGAAAGACAGCCTCTTTAACAAATGGTGCTGAAAAAACTGGATTTCAACCTGCCAAAGATTAAAAGTAGACCTCTATCTTTCACCACGCACGAAACTAAAATAGAAGTGGGTTAAAGATCTAAATATTAAAACAAACACTAGTACATTTTGAGGATATACTTCTAAGTGAAATAAATAAGGCACACACGTGCAAATACCAAATAGTTTCTCTGGTGTGAAAAATTAAAATAGTACTCAAGATCCTAATGGGACAATTGTTGTCAGGACCTATGATCTGCCGCCTCGGGCGTCACGACCTCCTAAGCTTCCAGTGGAAAATCACCAGTGGGCAGCGTGGGGCCCACGGCTGGGCAGAGGGGAGGGAGGGGACATGGGGAAAAAATGAGAACCAAGAGCTGGCATGTAAAGGTACAAGATCCCAGTAATGAATGTAGCTGTACTGTCTACCTAGAATGTACCAATAAATTCAATTTAAAAAAAATAAAATAAAAATAAAACAAACACTAAACTTTCTGGAACACAGGCTAGGTAGAACTCTCGAAGACTCTGGCATAGGAAAAGACTTTATGAACAAAACCTCAGTAGCACAGAAAGCACAAAGAATCAACAACTGGGACCTCATTAAAAAGCTGCACTGCAAGAGAAACCACTAACCAAACTAAGAGACAACCTACAATGTGGGGAAAAAATTTAAATCAGCTGTTCCTCAGACAAAGGACTACTTTCTAGAATACATAAAGAACCTAAAAGAGTCAGACCCCCCCAAATATAAAGACCCAATTCAAAAATGTGCGTCTGAAATGAACAGACATTTCTCAAAGAAGTAAAAGCAAATAAATATATGAAAAAATGTTCAACATCATTGGTCATTTGAGAGATGCACATGAAAACAACACTGATTGTACCTCACCCCAGAAAGAACGGCTGCTATCAAGAAAACAACCAATAACAAATGCTGGCGGGGTTGTCGGGAGAAAGGAACCCTTCTCCATTGGTGGTGGGAGTACAGACTGGTACGACCACTATGGAAATCAATATGGAGATAACTCAAAAAACTAGGATTAGAGGTCCCATCTGACCCAACTATTCCTGCACTGGGTATCTTCCTCAAAGAATTAAAAGAATTGTACCACAGTGATACATGCGTGCCCATCTTTATAGAGGCACAGTTTGCAATAGCTAAAATTTGCTTTTGTTTTGTTTTTTTGGTACCGGCGATTGAACTTGGGTCCTTGTGCTTGCGAGGCAGGCGGCGGAACCACTGAGTTACATCTCTGGTCCCTAAACTGTTTTTTATTTTGTTTTGTTTTGTTTGCAATAGCTAAAATTTGGAAACAGCCCAATTGCTCATCAACTGGAGACTGGACCAAAAAAATGTGTTTTTTAAAAAAATAAAATGGAGTACTACTTAGCCATAAAGAATAACAAACTAGAGACATTTATAACTAAATGGATGCACAATGAGGCCATACTCAAGTGAAATGAACAGGACACACACGTGTAAATACCAAATCATTTCTGGTGTGAAAAACTAAAGGAGGAAATAAGGATCAAATTGTGTAACTGATAATGTGCAACAGGAAAAAGGTCTAAAGGGACAGGGGAGGTGGGAGGGGTAAGGGAAAGGAAAGAAGGGAAAAGAAAAAATAGGAAAAAAATGGAAACAAAGTCTTTGCAAATAGGGAAGGGTGGAAAGGGTGAAAGGAGGGCAGGGGTCTGGGGGAAAAATGAGAACCAAGACCTGTCATGTAAAGGAACAAGATGCCAATGATGAACGTAAGTGTACTGTATTCCTAAAATGTACCGATAAACTTAACGGAAAATAAAAATGAACAAAAAAGGGATGAGGCGCTCCTCCCCAACAAAAAAACAACAAAAAATACCACACTGTGTCTCTGATGTGAGAAACTGACAGTAGAAATAAGGACCAAAGTGTACAATAGATTTTAGGGAACGGGAAGAAAATGTTCCAATGGGAAGAGAACAATGGACGGGAAGAGCAAAGGGAAGGGAAAAGGAAAAAACGCAAAAACAGAAGAAAAAGAAGAAAGAAATGTTGCAATGATAAGAAGACAAAACGCACCAGAGGACCCGAAAGAGGGCCGGGGACTTAGCTCAGTGGTTCTGCCACCTGCCTTGCAAGTGTAAGGAGCCGAGTTCGATCCCCAATACCAAAAGAAACAAAAACAAAAACAAGAATAAATAAGTGGGTAAATCTATAGGAACACTGTACAAAATAAAAATAATGTTTTGCAGATTCAAGAAAAATTGGGGGGAGCAGACACTGGGGATGGAACTTCGGACCTGGCACTTGCAAAGCAGGCAGCGGAACCACTGAGCAAATCCCGGGCCCATTAAAAAATTTTCTTTTCCTAAAAGGACAACGGTTTATCAAATTTCTTTTCTATGAAATAGCAATGTTATATTTGTAGTTACAGCTATATATTATTCTTTTAGTCCAGTGCGTAAAAGAATATATAACTTCTCAGCTCCAGAGTAAAAAAAAATAAAACAAGACTTTCAAAAATGGCAAATTAGACAATCTCGATCAACAACTCTCCCAGCAAATAAGCAGGACCGAAAAAAAAACTTTTTGTTTTCTTCTGTGCTGGGGATTGAACCCAAGGTCTCACACACGGATACCATGTACTCTAGCACTGAACTACACTTCCTCCTCCTAAAAATTTACCTGAGGCACTGGGAGTTAGCCAGGCACTGAGCACTGGGCCAAAGCCCAGGAGGAGACAGCAAAGCAAGAAGGAAGGAATGACTAAGACCTGTAAGCTGGAACGCACTGTGGTCACTGTAGCAGGTCACTGCAGACACACAAAGATGGATAGAGAGGCTAGGAGTGGTGACACATCCTTGTAATCCCAGCACTCTGCAAGGCTGAGGCAAGAAGATCGCTATTTCAAGCCTAGCCTGGACAACTTAGCCACTCAGTGAGTCCTAGTCTCAAAAAATAAAAATAGTTTGGGGATACAGCTCAATGCAAAGGCCCTGGGGTCAATTCCCAGTACTTAAAAAAAAAGTGGGGACTAAAGAACAGCACAACGCCTCACAAAGCATACAAAATAAAGACTTTAGGGGACTATAGTTCACGGCAGCAGTAGAGCTCTTGACTATCAAGTGTAAGGCACTGGATTCAACATCTAGAAGCACAAAAAATTTTTCCTAAAACCAACAAGAATTATGAAAAAGGAACAGTGCAGAAGAGAAGGTAAGGAGAAAGGGACGACTTTCCCATGACATTTTAGTTTCTCAGTGGCTGCCAATTCTCCCTCTAAAACACACCCTGATGTGCCCCACTGCCTCCTGCTTAGTGCACCCCACTCCTGCAACTCCCTCCTCTACAAAGGGCCTCAAAGCAACGGGAACCAAAAAATGCAGCCATAGCTGGCGGCGGTCTATACAAAGTATAAGTAGAAACATAAATGCG